TTTGTAATACTTTATACCCCCTAGAAATTTGTTATGCAAGAATTCAAGATATACTGAAAGAGAATCAAGAACAAAATAAACCTTAAGCTAGAGCATTTTCATTGCCTTGTCCTTAAACTATCATAGATACCCCAAATAAATTCAGTATTTGTATTTTGAGAAGCTTTCCTCAGTATTGATTCCCATTTATCCCACCAAACAAAAAGCAAAAAAAAACGTATTTTAAAACAGCCTAATGTATTCCACCTTTGTCCTGGGTAGAGGACTCTCTCGTCCGTCCAATCCTAATCCCAACTAATACGCCGACGGCCCAGACAATCGCCACAAATCGGGCAGCATACACAGGCAATCGTTGTAAACTAAAAAGCGCTTCCAACTTTGACATAATAAATAGCCAGGCAATGCGACATAACAGGGGGAATGGCAGGGAAAGGAGCTCTTAATAAAAGTCAATTGCCAAACCCACGCCATCCTGCTCTTCCTCTTTGGGCTGGCCATTTGAAATTTTAATAAAAAGTCCTTTTATCGCACTTAGAAGGCCATTTAGTAAGCTAAATTATACCCGAGTATTATCCGGACCAGGAGCAGGAGCAGGACCACGACCAGGACCACGACCAGGACCAGGACCAGGACGAGACCGATGCCGGTCCTTTGTCGCACCGAAAATCTCAATCCCAATACCGAAACCCAAAATCGTAGTCAAATTGGCCATGTTAAACCGCAGAGCAGTTTGGCCCTTGTTGTTGTTGACCCGACTTATCTCTCTCACTCTGTCTTTTTTTGGCCAAAACGAAGCCGGAGCCGGAGCCGTAGCCAGCACCGGCAACGTAAACTTGCCACAAATTGGCCAACTTGCCGCTGCTGCTAGTGCCTGCATAAGTCCAATTTATTTTTGGTTTCAGTTTTTTTTTCTTTTTACTACATCAAAGCGAAAAACAAAAAGGCTGCAAAACCAAATCGAATTAAGCTTAAATCTACATAAGCTTTTTCTCTCTGTGTGCCGGTAGATGTGCGGTACTGTGCGGTGTGTGTGCCGCAAAAACGGTGGTAAATTGACTATTAAAATTATAAATAAATTTAAGGGGATGCTTTTTAGAGAATATATTTTATGGAAAAAATAATTAAATTTACTAGATTTTTTATAGATTTTTATTAGCTACTTTTCTCTTTTATTTTAGTCAATAATTACAGGTTTCTAAAGTTGCTCCTCTCAAGAAATCATTTGAATAATGATTTTATAGTTTGGTTTATCATTTTATAAACCCCTTGAAGATGTATTTAATTAAATTATTATTTTATTTTTTATTTAACCCATACCTTAACCCACTGTGGCCAGAGTTTCCTGATTGTTCCTCTGCCTTTCGGTCCATTTGTTTGCTCTGGTTGCCGCTGTTGTTGCCGGGCATGAATTACATTTCTCTTTGCATTTTGCCCCGATGTTGCTGCTGTCGGTCGGTCGGTCGTTTCCATTTTTATTTTGGTTTTCCTCGCTTTTTTTCCTTTTTTCTAAATGCTAATTTATGGGCATGTGTTGCCATTTGGTTGCCGTTGGGTAATTTTAGTGCCCACCAAAACACAGAACACACAAAACACCAAACACACACAGAGCAACATCGAAGTTGAAGACCGAAAACCGAAACAGGAAATGCAGCAAGCGAAATAAAAAGTGAAGTAAATTGCATATTTATGAATCTGTCAATTGTTTATACTTTTATGCATTCGGCATTTTGTGGGGCCCCGGCTATTGTTGCTTTCACAGAATTTTCCCAAGTTGTTATTTGCCTGCTTGTATGTTGATTGTTTGCTGTTTGTGCTTTAATGTTGCTATTGTTGCACTGCAACAAATAAAGGGAATATTTTAGAAGCAGCTAAAAATTATATTCAAAATTAAATTAGATTAGGTAAAATTTGTATTTCATATGAAGCCTTTTTACGATCAACTATATTTAAGTGTTGAAGAAACAATAATTTTGCGAGTTACTTAAAACAATTAGATCCACTTTAACTTTATTTTATTGAATTTATGTTTTGTATTGCTTTTTATTATGTGAGGAATTTTTAAAATATATTTATAGGAATACTAGTTAAATTTTGATCAATATTATTAAGTTTAGCAAGAAGTCCGTAGGTATAAAATCTTGCAGTTTGAAAATGAATTAAAGGAAAGCTTTCAGAATTAAAATTAATTAATCTTTATGCGATTTATAAATTTAGATTTTTCGAAAAATCATAATTTTTCAATACGATCCTGAAGCAAAATAAATTATTTTTAATAAAGTTTTATATATTTTCAGGCATTGGATAGTAATCTAATTTATCTACATATTTTCTCAGTGTTATACCACGCCCTCTTTTCGGTTCCACGCCCCTCATAACATATGATTCCATTACCATTTTCGCATTTCGGGTCCGTTCTGCTTCTCGATTGTGTTGCTGCCGTTCTTGCATGAATTGGAACTGCAATTGGGAACTCCCCCGACTGCTCCCTTCGCTTTTCACCCTGCTGACCCCTGCTCGCCCCCTATTCAACCCTCAACCTTCACCTACCGCCAATCGCTGTCCGGTCGACAGACAAAACAAACGCATTATAACGAAATGTTGGCAAAAAAAAAACACAGAAAAACAACAAGAACACCGAGAAAACAACGAAAAGAAGACGAGGAAAACTTACACCTATTTCCTGTAGATGTCCGTCCGTGCATACACTGTGAGAAACATTGTACCCGAGGGTCGCACAATTTTCTCACAGCGGCAAGCTTCAAAGCGTGACACTTCCTTGGGTCAGCTTGAATAATTCGTAGAAACTAAACGCCAAAAAACAGATGTTACTCGTATCTGACATCATCTTTTGAATAAAAAAGGTTAAACGAGGTTTAATTTTAAAGAATTTACATATAAACCTTGACATCTATCTGAGGAAATTGCCGGGAATTAGAAAATAAACATGACTAGATAGTGATATTCCCTAAGAAAGACAAAGACATCTTGCAGATACTTTTACATATAATTTTAAAGAGACTAGAAGAGGTGGCTTATAAATATTATTATTTGGAATACTTTTAGAGATGCTTTTTGTGATACTCAATTAGCTCCATTAGACAATCTTTTAGAGATATTTTGGAGATACTTTTAGATACTGAGAGCTATCTTTATAAATACTCCCAGAGCTACTTTTATAGATAGATTTAAACCTACCTTTAAAGTTACCCTTGGAGACACTTCTGGATCTACTTTTATAAATATTTTTTAAATATACTTTTAGAGATATGTTTAAAGATACCTTTGGAGTTACCTTTAAAGATAGCTTTGATATACCTTTACAGATTATTTTAGACATTCGTTTAGAGATACACAAAGATACTTTTAGTAATACATTTAGTGATATTTTTAGGACTTCTTTAAAAGCTACCTTTAGAGCTACTTTTAAAGGTACTTTTGATATACTTTTAGAGAAACCTCCAGAGATACCTTAGAGATACTTTCATAGACACTTTCAGAAATATTTTAGTAATATTTTAGGAATATATTTGAAGGTACTCTTAGAGATACTTTAAGAGATACCTTTGGAGATACTTTTAGAGATAGCTTCTGAGCTGCATTTAGAGACCCTCTTAAACCTAATTAACCATTCTAAATAGCAACTAATAATTCAAATTAAAAATGAAAAGAACTTGTATTTCAGTGCATGCAATAAACTTAAATCAATAAACAAAACAAAAGAAAACAACTTCCATTGTCTGTCCCCACCCCTCCCCCTCCCCCTCCCCCTACTGTGTGCTGCCCTTTGCCGGTCCGGTTAGGTTCTGTTTCCCATTTGAAGTGAAGGCATTAAATAAGTCGAAAGGTATAAACACAAGCTGGCAAACAAATAAGGCCGAAAGCGAGACCGGGACTTGGGACTGGGACCGGGACCGGGACCGGGACCGGAGTAAATGGTTTGGCATTGCCAAGGGAAATGGAAATGGCAATGCCAGAGACACGGCAGCAAAAACCGTCGAAATTCCTTCACAGAACATTTATTTTCGGCTGCCTTTCGTTACACACATTGATTTCTGGGCACCGAAAGGTACTATGGTACAGGGTACTGTGTACTGGGCACTGCCACACACACGCGATGCAATAAACTTGAAAAAGGTAAATTGCTGAACATATTTTGTATCTTCCAGATACCACAAACTGGCAACCGAAACTGCAGCGCCAGCAACTCAAACGCACTGAGCCAAGAAAACAAAACTGGCCAAGAGGCAGGTCAAAAACAAAAATAAGTATAAGAAGAAATCCAGTGACAGGAGAAAAACCAATATGAAGATGCCAACCTGAGTGGTAGAGCGTTTCTTTAGTTTCTGTCCTTAGTTTTTATATTTATGCACTTTGTTTTCTACCCTCCTTCCACCATGACAACTTTGGCACCCAAAACAGCTGCTGGCGGGTAAATACTATATTTTATTGTTCGACCCGTAAAACCTGCAATCGCATATGGACAATTGGATGGGTAACAGATAATCTTTGGGGGTCATAACATATCAGAGTTATGGCGATTCAGATATATACTAAACGGGGGGGAAATAGTAAAAAGAGCAAACGAATTTCTTTAAATTTATAAGATTGCATGTCGAGCATTAAATTAGCTTAGATAAAGTTTTTGTACAAGTTTTATTGGGTATTTTTTATGGGAGAGATTGTGAGAATATATAACAATATTAAACACATTTTCAGCAATTAAAAACATGCTTAATATATATATACTTGGAAATAACTTTGAAAGGAACTGGCTCAAATTCGAATGTTTATTAATTCCTTTTATTCTCCTACCATTTCAAAATCACCATATTGGTGTAGTAGAAATCTGCATAAATATTAAATTAAATTGCAACTTAATATAAAGATAATATAAATTAACAAATATTTAAATATGAACCCCATTGTTATATGTTTAGAAATAACTTTGCCAATAACTTATTTAAACTAGTACATATTTATAGTTTCTTGAATGCACTTACCATTTAAAAATCATCATAATGTCGAATCATACAGTCGAATTCTAAAATAAATATTAAAGATTAAAATTAATAATTATTTATCAATACAATTACATTTCCTATACATATTTCTGAATAACTTACATTAAACACTTACTAAAACTAGCATATATCGCTACTTAATGGCATAATGTAGTTCTACATAAATATTAAATTAACTGGCAACTTAATTCAGTTAAAGTGCCGCCTAAAATTATCTCACTGATCTCTGGCTTTACCTGCCTTTACAGGTTGCATAACTGCTATTTTTAGCAAAAAAAAAGATACAAAAAACCCGTTTGCCGCGGTGTTGGCCCTTATCTTAGCGGTTAAGCAAAGACAGACAAAAACGTGTCCTGCCGCTGTTACGCTCCTTGACCACACACACATTTATATATATATATTTAGATATATAAAGATATATATATATGTATTTGTATAGAAAGGAATCCGCAATGCGGCAGCTAAGGGCTAAGGGCCAAAGTTGGTGGAACTGACTATCTACGACAGCAATTCATTGTGGATACTCATTAGCAGCAGGTAAACACATTTCTGGAACATTGCTTTTAATTAGTAAAACAGACGCCCGGTGTCACGGGTTCAACAAAGTAAGCCAAACGGAAGGGCCACTGTCCGTCTGTCCGCTTGTCCGTCTGTCCGTCGCCTGTCCGCCAGTCACCCTGTGCCTTTTTAATTGCAAGAACGTCAAAACATTTACCAAATTAACGCAATCCAAGCTCAACTAAATTGTTTCGTGGCAAAAGAAAAACCACCGAAAAACACGAAAAGCGAAAGAAAGACGCTGGAAAAAAACGAAGAAAATTCTACCCCCTGCGAGGGAGTGAAGAAAAAAAAACAATGCTAAATGTCCGTCAATAGATTGCAGTCACTGTGTCCAACGACGAAGGGGAGATGGAGAATTTCCGACTCTTATCAGATAAACCTGCTCTAATTTGTGTACACTTAGTCAACTGAACGAGGACGAATGGGAAGTGGAAATGATAGTTGTACTTGCTATATATATTCCTAAATATATATACATATATATATGGGATATATAATGAGTCTCAGCTGGTGGACAAGGCAGTGAGTGTAGCAAATCACCCTGGTGAAGGAAATGCTTTTTTTACGTTTTCATTTAATTTCACTTTGAGTCGCAAATCGTTTTTAGTGAGTTTTTTATACACTTTACTTCTGAAGGGGTATGTGGGAATTATGGAGCATCAAAAGGAACAGGAAAATAATAAGGTAGTTATTAAGATATAATTTCTATAAGATTCTTTTAAGAACTTGTATATTTCCTACAAATTAAAATTTTAAATAATTCATAACTAAGCCAAGAATGCATTAATTTGAATTTAATATCCATTCCTAGGTTAGTTTTTATTAGTTTAAAAAAATGCATACTTAATTTAAGATTTTAGAACATTAAAATTTGTATCAATTTAAAAAAAGAACCATGTAACCCCTTATCGTTCTTTTGAAATTTCAAAAGTAATTCAATAATTTATTTTTTGACCGGACATGGATAAATCGATTCGGACTTAAATTCTGATCAAGAATATACATATATAATTTATAGGGTCGGAAATGACTCCTTCACTGAGTTACAAGCTTGTAAACATAATGCCATTCATTTCTTTACGAAATTGATGTTAAATATTTACTTTTTTGTTGAAACCTTCTAATAGATTCATTTTAGCTTCATACTTCATTTAAATAATTCGGTGTCAAATTTATAGAAAGTACTAAAGATGCTCCTGAAATCACTTAGCTTCTTACAAATTAAAAAGGTGTCCAAACTAAAAATGTAGTGCCTAAAAAATGGAAAGTTCATACTTTTACACGAGTTCTTAAGGTGTTTTAAAAACCCCAGTGCTTTCTAGAATATAATTTTTAAATATTACTCAATTCCAAAAGATTATAGTAAGAGTATTTAATTTTTTTATGCTCCCTTATACAAAAAATCCCCTTGCTTTCTATTTCTTTCCGGCATCCAACCGAGAGTGAGTGTGTATCTGGGTGCGTTTTTTGTCGTCTTTTTTTTCGGTTCATTCTTTATTATTTTTTTTTGGGTTGATGTAAAGTGTAATATATTTTTCGGTACTTTGCAGCGGACAGATACATTTAAAGTCATTCAGTGCAGATATCCAAGACACACACACACACACAGCTGATGTGGAGGAAGAGGGGGGTTCCGGAGGTTGCGGGGTCAGTGGAGAGAGGGGAGAGAGGGGAGAGTAAGAGACAGCAACGAATTAACTACAAACGACTACACATTAATGCCAACTTAACAACAGAAGCCGTCCAAGCGACAGGCCGAAACGATTCAAGGGGGGAAACGGAAGAGAGGGGCTGGTATAGAGGGGAGGGGAATGGGGGGTGGGGGCAAGGTGTGAGGCAGGGGGGAGGAGGGAAAGGAAAAGAGAGAAAAGGGAGAAAAGGGAAGGTGAAGAAAAGCAAAAGGAAGAGACGATGGGCAGCATAAAATACCAGAAGCTAACGACTGCATCTAAAGAAATAGTTCTTAATTCAGTATTTTTAATAAATATTAAATTTAATTTTAACTTAAAATCAGAATTTAAATAAATACAATTATTTTTTCTTTGACATCACTTGAATTTAATTCCAAAAACAGGCTTTAATATAATATAAAACTTGATATCATTTATGAAATTATAATATTTCTAAGGATTTCAAATACAATTTCAGAGTACAAGTATTTTTTGACATTGATAATTATTATAATTAATTATATATATTAATAATTATAATTATAAATTGAAAAACAAGAATATTTATGCACCCATCTAAGGGTATCTTAAAACCTTAATTCAGTTCTAAATTTAAGGAATTCTGAAATTCAGAAAACAGCTTCTAAATATACAAATATGAGTAATTTAATCATAATAGATTTAAGTACTCGTACATATTAATTTTAGTAATCAAATATTAATTAAAAATATAATTAGTTAGTATATATTCTTTCCAGTGCACGAACGGATATACGAACGACTGAAGCTGCTTGACATACCGAGGGTGTGAGGCAGAGATCCACCAGATACGGATACGAGATACGAGATACAAGATACGACCCTGGACATGGTCACGGGCATGGCTAAAATACAATATATTATGCGTGCGTTGCCTCTTTTTTTTGTCTCTCCCCCAGCTCTGTTTTTTACTTCACTTCTTTGGCTTGGCAACAGTGTAGCAAAAAAAGGCAGCGAAGACAAAGCCCAAACCGCTTGGCATTCTTCAAAATTAACATACCACGAAAAGTACACAAAACAAAAGAAGTGTTTGCCATGTTACTAGATGGATGCATGGATGGATGGATGCCCCATCTCTTGGAGAACAAGTTACTGGACCTGCGGACAGCTGACGGTCCAGTGGATCCGATGACCATGTCCAAGGTACTTAACATATGGCCGAGATTTGCTCAGTTCAGTGGGTTGACTATAAGGAGATTTTGGAGCCTTGCAGAGGTGAGGAATTTCATAACTAAATGAGGTATTTTTTATACCATTTTGTAGTTTAATCTTAAAGTATCTTCATGTGAATATATATACCTTCTTGAGATACAGAGAATCCAATTAAAGTTGCTACTCTCTGCCAGCCTGTGTCAGCCTGAGAATCCTTAGGAGGACTGTGGCAATAACATTGATGGAGTTTTCCATGACAAGAGGAAGCCACAGAATGCTTTGACAAACATCCAAGGACGATGATGTGATTCCTTCTCCGCCTCGGTTCTCGGTTCAATTATAGGAAAATTGCGCAAATCCTTCAAACTTTTTGCCTATCCCAATGATAAAAGTTGGACGTAGACGAGTCGCTCGCGCGTTTCCCATCTTATTAGCGCACTCACTCACTCGACTTTCCTTGTGACACTAATCCTGCTGCAAGTTGGCCTGCACTTCAGCTTCAAGTTGGCTGCACATAAGCCTGGCGCTGATCCACCCAAAAAATAAAAGCGAAACAAACAAGCTAACAAAAGTACCAACAAAACGGCCACAAAACAGGCCATCTTCGATGGCGATGCCGATTTGGATTGCGATTTTGATTCTGATTCTGATTCCGATTGCGCAGCTCCTCGTGGAACAGATTAAATTCCAAATTGTTTTTCATGGCCCGACAGGCAGACAGACAGCATTCGGAGAGTCCTGACTTGGAGGACAATCCCCTCCTGAATTTCACAAAAAAAAAGAAACAAGGGAAGACCTCGAGCCTGGCTAATTCCCGCATGCAATGAAAACAATTTGTATTCTACGCTTTATATCCCACACTCTGGACAAAGGTATAAGGGTGTATCTTTTTTTATATAGAAACTCTTAAAAGAGATAAGGATTTAAAGAAAATAATAAAATATATGTACATGTATATATCTGGATTTTAGATAGACTTACAAGTTTATATTGTAAAACAGAGGAAGCTAATATTATTCATTACTTCTGAAACGTTCATTGTAAGAATATTGCTTGCCAAATTTACAAGGGCTTTTTAAAATAATTTGCTAGATAATGAAGACTTTCTCATTATTTTAATCTATTTTATTAATATTTAATAATATTAAATATTATTATTAATAATATGAAATAAATGAAGTTCCCCAAATTAGTTTCAGATAGTTAGAATATCTTTAATTTCTTCATTCATTTCCTAAGATACATTGTAAAGGCTAATAAGTATCTTTTTGTTTTAGTAATTATTTTTGCATACATATATATATTTTTATTGTTTCCTTTATTTTTATGCCTCAGCGTTGATTTTATCAAGCTTATTATATGGGTCGTGGTCTTGGTTGCGGTCTTAGCCTCGGTTTTGGGGTGCAACCCTTTTTATTTAGGGTTCTCAAGTCGTTGCAACAACAATGACAAAAAAAGGATGCTCTTTAAAGGGATCGGATGAAGGGATCACCAATAACCGCTTCCAGTTGAAAGGTACACAGTAAGAAAGAGAACTTAGTAAATAAAATGTTGAATGAATTTTACTTTAAGATTTCTTTAGGCAACAAAAAATCAATCAAAATAATATCATATTATCAAAATATCTATAAATAATCATTATACGATTGACTTAAGCATAGTGACATTTCGATGAAGGTTTCCAAACTTATTAATTATTTTAAATAGGCAAATATTTTTCGGCATTTAATACTGCAATAAATTTCTCTGTGTGCAGGACCTCAGCTGGCATCCTGACCCGCATGGTTCCTCTCACAACCAAGAGACCCTTTGCCCGGCTGGCTGCCTGACGATGGTGCCCCGCAAGTGCAATGCAGCGCGAAATTCCACTCATTTTTTAACAAGTTCTCAACGCTTTTGTTGCACAACAATGCGAAGGCTGAGAGACCTGGGAGAGGAGTCAGTGAAGCAGAGGGGTCAAAAGAGTAGAGGGACCCGGGACCAGGGACCAGGGACTGGCACTTCATATCATAAACTTAAGTACCAGCAGCGATGGAGAAGACAGCGACATTGCCTCCACTGCGTCCCTCATGGCTTTGCCACAATTTTTGTGCGTAGTCCCTTACCTTTTTGTTTTCAGTTAAAAGGTAAGACAAGGCAGTGCTGCCAAGTAGGATATAGCTAAATTTGATAGATTTTATATTATTTAAATAACTTTAAAATAAATTGTTTAAGTAGATTTATGCATGGAATTAATTTAAAGGGTCGGTAATGTTTTAAAATAAAAACATAAAACACTTTCTTCATGGGAAGCCCAAAGACATGACTTTCATTTGCTTACTACATTAAATATGGGTTTTATAAAGTAATATTCATGTCAAGGCGACTATTAAAAATATTAAAAAATCTAAAAAATAGTTCATTCTTAAAATTATTTTAATATAAATATAGAAAACCACTTTCTTCAATGCAAACCTTAGAAACTTCTCTTAATTTACCTACTTCATGAAGTATGGTTTCTATGCATTAATTTTGAGAACATTTACTGCTTTAAAAAAATCTTCAAAAATTACTCAAATCTTAATTTTTAATCTTATATTATTAACCTATTTGAATTTTTAGAAATTTTTTTAGCTCTCAAAAAGCCAGAGTAACCCAATAGCCAGCATAAATTAAATATGGTTTCTATTAGGTAATATACAAGACATATTCAGCTCTAAAAAAATATTGCAAAATTATTGAAGCCATAAATTTATATTTCATTAAATTTTTAAACATTTTTCGCCTTTTTTTAGCTCTAAAAAAAATTGTTTCTTTGCCATCACTAAGCCCAAGAGTAACCCAAAAGCCAGCATAAATTAAATATGGTTTTAAGACATTTCCAGCTCTAAATAAAATATTAAGAATTATTAAAGCCATAATTTTTTGTTTCATTATATTTTTTAACAATTTTCCCCATTTTTTAGCTCTCAAAAAACCCCGATGTTCTTTGCCATCACTGAACCCCAGAGTAACCCAAGAGCCAGCATAGTTTGCCAACGTCAGCCATCGTTGGCTACCGGAGACCGGCTGCTACCGCTTTTGGTGCTCGTTTTGGTTTTGGTTTCTGATGATGACATTGACAGCGGACCCTCCTCCCCCTCTTCCTCCTATCTCTTCTGTCCCGCTGCACCGCTCACAATCACAATCAGCTGTTGCCGGCGGAGACGGGCAGCTCAAAGAGTTACCTACGGGCACTTAGAATGTTTTGGCACAATTAAAGCTGCTGGTCGCCTGTCTCACTCAGCTGACGTTGTCGGGTGTCGTCAGTGTCTCCATGGATGTGGTTGGCCTGTTGTTATTTATTTTCCACCACTTCTCGTATTTTTTTCATATATTTTTTTACCTTTTTTTGTTTGTCATGAAGCCGCACTGTGGTTGAGATCAGAGATCTTTAAAATAAAGATCAAAGAGATCGGGAACTAAGCAAGTTAACTGAGGGATATAAATATAACTTGAAGAAAGGTGCTTAAAAAGTACTTCATTATTTTCTAAAATGTTAAATTTCTTCAAATTAAATTAAATCAAAATATATACCTCCATGACTTGGGTCAAAATTAAAAGAAAAACTCTTGAAGCTAAAAAACAATTTCATAAAAAATATCAGCTCCTCCCCAAGACTCTCTTAAATATTCTACTAAATAGCATTAGACGTTTCTGTAAATAAAATAATATTAAATGAAAATATACCTTTATGATTGGTTTAAAAATTAAAACAAAACTCTTGAATGTAATTAAATTATAGCATACAAGATATCAGAACCTGCCTAAGACTCTCCTAAAATTATTCGACTTTTCTGTATATATTTCTTACACAAAACTCAAAAATTCTCTCCTAATTTTATTGGTTTATGAGTTGATATAGTTATCTGAAACGATCCTCAGAGCCAACTCTTTTTTGGCCAAAACAAACTCGAAGCTATCCCCTGGGCTTTGAGGCCCAGTGTGCATTGTCATTGTCCCATCAACGTTTTGCTGTCGCTGTCATTATTGTTTGCTTTCTTGCTGCTGTCGGTTTTTGTAACCTTAGAACTTCTCAAGTTGTTGCTGCTGCCTTTCTCGCAGCCTTTGTAAATGGGCATAATACCGGAAACCCGCAGCACAACGACAACAGCAACAAAAAACCGTCGACAGTCAGACCGATCGACAGACTATATAGTAACCGGGCAGCGAAGCGAACAAGCGACCGACTGATACTCAGAGCCACCAACAAAACAGCTGACAAACAGAACTGAGAAAAAATATTTAGAAGTTCTTAAAACTTTGATCTAATATTAGTTAAATTTTTAATAAACTTTCAGAGGTTGTGCCTAGAAAAATCTATTAAAAACTTCTAACTTCCAGATCAATCTTAAAGATACATATGTATGTATCTTAGGCTGATAAGTCTCTTATTTTTCCCTGTGTGATAGATGGAACTGGAGTTGGACTTGGGAATACAGGGAGAGCTCTGGGCAAGGGGATCGAATATAGTGAGTCGGTGAACGGGTATAGGGATGAGTATGAGTATGAGTCCCTTGGTATGCGGTTCGAGCAGCTGAGTTCTTTGACGGTGTGGTTCGGTTCGCTCCGCTGCTTCTCACTCATTTCATAACAAAACGCCACAACAAAGATCAAAAACAAGCTGGCCATCATCAAAAATAGAGTAAGGAATAGGGAATACCTCATATTTAGTAAGAAAAAAGATTAAGTTTATAAAATATACACATTTAGCATAGAGAAAATAAGATATTCAAGATATTCATAAGTCAGATTTTTGTGTTTAGTATTTTTGGAATTAAAATGATCAGGGAATTAAGATTATCTTATAATATATGTTAATAATATAATTTTATTTATTTTGATATTTATATATTCATTATTTTAGAGATGTATCTCTAAGGTTTCAAGTTCATTTAATGCGAGAGAAGATCCAGGATTCGGCAACTTTATAGTATCCTTAAATGTTCTTTTAGCATTTAATCGACAGATTTATGTTTAAAAAAAAATCTACATAAATTTGTATATATTTTTTCTTGAATTTTTCTTGTACTTTACTTATTCTGTAATTTACTTTGTACTCACCTGACTTTTAACTTCAACAATTCAATGGGTATAACGAGCTGCAGGTCTCAAAGTCCCAATGCCGTCGTCTCTTGGCCGCCAGTCCCTTTTTCTCTGACTTTGAGTATGAAAAAAAAAAACTTGCCAGCGGTTCCGGTGAAAATTCACGTTTAACCGAACAATTAATAGAATCCACTCGACAACTGCACAATTTACAACATTGTGTTCTGTCCACCAAACCCGGACTCCGCATCCGTCTCCCGGCTGATTCCGTGGCGGTTCTGTTTGTTTGTCTGTAACTGGCAGCATAATTACCACATATTTTCTGTAAGTGGCACGGTGCGAAGTTCCCATTTAGCCAGGCCTAGAGTCACTTGGCCACTTCCCAGACCGCCGCCGCTGCTGCTGTGGCCACGGGAAATGAGATTCATTCTTGGCGTTTTTCCCTCAAAACACCGGCCTTTTGTTTTCCGCAGCATTCCGAAAAATGTTCCTCCACTTGGCGGTATGATCAGCACTTGAATCTTTTTCTTTTTTTTTTGAGGAGCTGGGAGCACAGACCTAGAAAAAAGTTGGAGAAAAACAATTCACTTTGTTCTGGTCGATGATACTTGTCGGTTTTTATTCGCTTAATTAAATAATGGAAGATTACCAATGGGAATTTCATTTTGTATTTTGCAGAGATTGAGATGTATTATTATTTTAGAAAGTCTATTTAAGAGATAATTTAAAGAAATTCATTGGGGAAATTTATCTAAGAATTTTAATGATGAGACATTTATTCTTTAGCCTTTATCCATAACAAAATAAATTGGATACGGATATAAACACTAGTGTCTTTTTAATTGGAAATCTATATAGTTACCTAATACTTTGGGAATTTTTTTACAAATTTGTGATTTTTTAAGTGCTATATTGAATTCAGAACACAGAAACCCCTGAGGGAAATGGATGCCATGACTAATTCTAATTGATTTCATATATTTTTTTATTTCCGTTGCTTTGTAGTTTTTTAGTTTTCCGCAGACGCCACACAAAGATCGTTAGCCGATGGCCGAGCAACTAATTGATGAGCGTAAAATAAAGGGTCAACTAATTTTTAATTAAAATCTGAATAATCTGAAAAGACCCACCGCAATCGGATAAGATCTAATTGCCATAATTAATTCTCATATAATTTGGGCGGCGATGGCGACTACTGTTTGGTGTTTTTTCTTGTAGGGGAAACATTTACATAATTTCATAATATGTAAATGGATCTGTGCAACGGGGCGAGATCGAAGATAGAAGCCATTAAATCAAAGTTGGAGCAGGGGGAGCCTCTTCAGAAAACAACAAATTGCGGATCGGTATCTTTTGATGCGCAATTAATAACTGCAGGAGGGAAGGGCACAGTCAGAGGAGGATCCCATAAAAAATATATATTTGGAATGAGTATAATTCCCGGATCAGTAATGCGAGACCGAAAAAAATATAAGGAAAACTGGCAACCGCAGCGAAAGAAGACAATGAGCGTCTTTCGGGGAACAAGTTGTGAGGAAAACTCAAGGGAAAACTACCCTCTAGGCTCTGTTTGTTGATTTTCCTTGCACCCTTTGTCATGGAAAGAACCTACTCGACGACTTTATTGATAGATTGCAAGATTCGCGAGACTTCTTCGTTAACAAAAGGCAACAAGTTTACAATTACCTTTTGTGTCATCGCGGGAAATCCCTAAAGTAGAGGAGGTCCGAATATTTGCGTAACAATACGCTTTTCATTCGCTGATTTATAGATATTTAATAAAGCACTTTCCCAGGGACACGCACACACAAAAAGATCGCTGAAGACGAAAGAAATTATCATTTGCATGATAAAAGTATGGTGATCCTTGGAAGGGATCGCTTGGGTCTAAAACTGGGTGTTTCCCTGACAATAATAACAAGCTTCTGCACCCTACCGATTTAACAATTTTCACAACCTGAACACCCCAAGTTTTTCCACAAATTTTTCAATACCAGCATTTTCTTTTTCATTGTTGTTTGCCAGCGCAAAATTATGACGCAATTTATAGTTTTTGATTCCATTCGCCGGCTGAGTTTTAAACCATTGTTAGGGGGGTTTTTGGCGGAGGCATAACTAAGATTTATTTCCGGCTTTGTGAAATTTACACCGGGAAAATCGGTTTCCCTGGCCAACATCAGCAGCTGTAAGGCGTTCCGGGGCGGGGCTATTTGAAAAGAACAAAGTTCTCTGTTCTTTTCAGATATTTTTTATTTTTTTTTTTTACAACGTGAGAATCGGATGGATCAATCTCGCTTAGATTTGAATGGTCTTCTATATAATATATAGTGACGTAATAAAAATGTTTACGACCCTGGCAAACGTCTGTAATCCGTAATCCTCGCATTTAGACAAAAGCTTTTGGTCTTCTCTATAGTTTTCTTCAGGGAGTTCCGGTTACGGCAATAACTTTAATCTGACTTTTCATTGATTTTGCCAGTAAATGTTCCTAACGACGTTTATGCCTCTAAAGATGGATGGGTTTTTTGATGTCTTTGGTTATTTGCCAAAGGAAAAATAATTCAGTAAGCTGCTGGGTGGAATTAAAGTCACAAAAAACTAAATTATTAGGATTTTTAGGATTTTGTAAAGGTTGCTCATTAAACTATTTGAAAAGCAGAAAGCTATGACTTTGAAATTCATTAAAAAGGATGAATCAAAGTTTGCAATAAAATGCTTTAAGTAGAAAATTCAATGAATAGGTTTAGTTTTCTTTAGATTTTATGTTTTTTTACTATTTTGGTTAAGACTTTTACTTATTCTACATAGAACTCCTTCCCTAACTTTTCCCCTATGATACCATCTACAAATATCTCCCAAATACTTCCTCCATAGGTTCATAAAAATAAAGAAAAGATGCCATCAGCTAAATATGCAAATATGTGAAACCATAGTTTTCTTATCTCCGTATAAATTGTCGGTCAATAAGCATATGGTAGGGAACCCTAAAAAAAAAAAGAAGACACATATCCCAAGGAATATAACTCATCGCTTGGGAATGGTTTCATTTGCGGTCTCTGGTTTCTGACAGACTTCCCCGCGGACTCTGATGATGCCAAACTATATTTCATCCCAATAAAATATGAAATATTACAATGACCCGGGGACTAGAAATAAGGAATTTTTGTGTCGGCCTCAGTATCGCTGAAATCATAACTCAACTTGTCCGGCATTATGTAATCCAACACCAGAACATAAAGTGCACAAGATGTGGCACTCGTTACGTTACGCTCTATGTTAATATTATGCGATAATTTATGACACTTGCCCCGATTTCTGTGTCACCGGCCAGCGGCGTTTGCTTTTCAGTATAAATAACAAATTTTCGGTTTACGACACCGCTGACCTTCGCTGACCCTGCCTCCCTGCCACCCGAAGTGGCATCCAATTTGTAGAAGGAGAATCTCTGGGGGCCACAGATCATTTGACAAGTCGAAGACAACAAACGGCGGGCTTTGTTCTCCATCCAAAAGCATTTTGATTTGTGTGCCATTAAATGCAAAGAATATTGGGGGTCATTCTAAAGATTAGAAACTAGAACTAAAATCGGGTATATTATAGTACAGAAAATATATTTGAATTTCTTGCCAAGGCATAGTAATTTTATAAAGTGCGGAAAATAAAAACTGTGAGTTATAATAGAGGGAACTTTGTGTAACAGAATTTTCTTGTGAGAAACTAAATTTATAAACTATTAAAACTAAAGTGCCACTTGTGAAATTCCCACTCATTAAATACAGAGAATATGTGAAGCATATGGAAAATGCTTCTCCTAAATGGCAATTTGGGAATTGGTTTCCTCTCACATTTCCCACTATGAAATACTATGCCTTGCCTTCGTTTTAATTGCAACCATTAAGTTTAATGTATTTTTTTGGTGTATAATAAACATGGGATTTTCATTTAAAATGGGAATATTTTTTTTGTAATGCTGAAAATAGTTTAATCAATATTCAACTTTATACTATACATATTGTTTAAATTTTCAATTCATTAGTGAATGGGGCTTCGCTTCAGCTGCGCTCTGATTATCTGGCTGTAATAAATATGTTGGCAGCGAATCGAAAATAAATATTGTTTCAATTTATCGGTCGGGGATTGGTTAAAAAGCATTCGGCATCAGCAAAAGCATCAGCAGCAGCAGCACATGCTGTCGACAGACTGGCGGACGGACAGACAAACTGCAGCATAAATCATCTTCATTTTCATCTGCAGCTACAAGTTGCAGCGAAGCGTTCGCGTTCGCGTACTTGCCACATGCTGCCAAATGTTGGAGAGGTTCTTTCTTCAGCCGCACCCTCCCACATAAACATTTTCCCCTTCCATGGATAAAATGCACTTTAAGGAAAGATTAAAACATACGGAAAATCGTAGGAGAAATGTAGAAAGATGTATACATAAACATATACCCAGAAAATAGTAAAAGTATTACGAAAATATCAATTAAAATATATTTTTTAATGTCTAGATCGAACCATTTATTTAAAATAATTGGTATGTTCTTAGATTAAAACAACTAATTTACATTAATTTTGAAGCCTCAAACATATTTTTTCATTCTTTTTTAGAAGGCATTTCAAGCCCTAGTAACTTTTGTAACACTTACTTTGATTTCAATAGAAAAATTCTCAAATTAATAAAACCCAAATCAAATTTCTGAACTTTTACCTTGACTTATTTTTAAAGTAATTATTTTATGAACTACCTACATTTTTGGAATATTTTTATACACAGTTTTTAAGGGATTATAAACCCTATTAATATCTGCGATCTTTCTTTGATTTATATAAGAATTCTATTGAACTAAAGAACTCAAAATAAAATTTCCCCAGTTTTCCCTTAACCTATATTTAAAATACAATTTTTTTTTTAATATTTTGTAAAGAATGCATATTTTTTCTGACTGCACAATTCGATTCTTATTCCCATTTCCCCCTTCACTCGCGTTGCATCTGCAGTGGCTGCGCCGACACTATGCCTTTGATTTATGGGCCAGCTTCCAATATAATTATGTTGTATCCGAAAAATCGAGCAGGCGATGGATGCACGGACTAGAGCAGAAAAATTCGGCTATTTTCGAAAACTGAGAAAAAAAGAGAACGTTTCTTTTGGGGAAATTGTCGCTATCCACGCATCAAACTACGAAGCGAACAAGCGACCGACTGATACTCAGAGCCACCAACAAAACAGCTGACAAACAGAACTGAGAAAAAATATTTAGAAGTTCTTAAAACTTTGATCTAATATTAGTTAAATTTTTAATAAACTTTCAGAGGTTGTGCCTAGAAAAATCTATTAAAAACTTCTAACTTCCAGATCAATCTTAAAGATACATATGTATGTATCTTAGGCTGATAAGTCTCTTATTTTTCCCTGTGTGATAGATGGAACTGGAGTTGGACTTGGGAATACAGGGAGAGCTCTGGGCAAGGGGATCGAATATAGTGAGTCGGTGAACGGGTATAGGGATGAGTATGAGTATGAGTCCCTTGGTATGCGGTTCGAGCAGCTGAGTTCTTTGACGGTGTGGTTCGGTTCGCTCCGCTGCTTCTCACTCATTTCATAACAAAACGCCACAACAAAGATCAAAAACAAGCTGGCCATCATCAAAAATAGAGTAAGGAATAGGGAATACCTCATATTTAGTAAGAAAAAAGATTAAGTTTATAAAATATACACATTTAGCATAGAGAAAATAAGATATTCAAGATATTCATAAGTCAGATTTTTGTGTTTAGTATTTTTGGAATTAAAATGATCAGGGAATTAAGATTATCTTATAATATATGTTAATAATATAATTTTATTTATTTTGATATTTATATATTCATTATTTTAGAGATGTATCTCTAAGGTTTCAAGTTCATTTAATGCGAGAGAAGATCCAGGATTCGGCAACTTTATAGTATCCTTAAATGTTCTTTTAGCATTTAATCGACAGATTTATGTTTAAAAAAAAATCTACATAAATTTGTATATATTTTTTCTTGAATTTTTCTTGTACTTTACTTATTCTGTAATTTACTTTGTACTCACCTGACTTTTAACTTCAACAATTCAATGGGTATAACGAGCTGCAGGTCTCAAAGTCCCAATGCCGTCGTCTCTTGGCCGCCAGTCCCTTTTTCTCTGACTTTGAGTATGAAAAAAAAAAACTTGCCAGCGGTTCCGGTGAAAATTCACGTTTAACCGAACAATTAATAGAATCCACTCGACAACTGCACAATTTACAACATTGTGTTCTGTCCACCAAACCCGGACTCCGCATCCGTCTCCCGGCTGATTCCGTGGCGGTTCTGTTTGTTTGTCTGTAACTGGCAGCATAATTACCACATATTTTCTGTAAGTGGCACGGTGCGAAGTTCCCATTTAGCCAGGCCTAGAGTCACTTGGCCACTTCCCAGACCGCCGCCGCTGCTGCTGTGGCCACGGGAAATGAGATTCATTCTTGGCGTTTTTCCCTCAAAACACCGGCCTTTTGTTTTCCGCAGCATTCCGAAAAATGTTCCTCCACTTGGCGGTATGATCAGCACTTGAATCTTTTTCTTTTTTTTTTGAGGAGCTGGGAGCACAGACCTAGAAAAAAGTTGGAGAAAAACAATTCACTTTGTTCTGGTCGATGATACTTGTCGGTTTTTATTCGCTTAATTAAATAATGGAAGATTACCAATGGGAATTTCATTTTGTATTTTGCAGAGATTGAGATGTATTATTATTTTAGAAAGTCTATTTAAGAGATAATTTAAAGAAATTCATTGGGGAAATTTATCTAAGAATTTTAATGATGAGACATTTATTCTTTAGCCTTTATCCATAACAAAATAAATTGGATACGGATATAAACACTAGTGTCTTTTTAATTGGAAATCTATATAGTTACCTAATACTTTGGGAATTTTTTTACAAATTTGTGATTTTTAAGTGCTATATTGAATTCAGAACACAGAAACCCCTGAGGGAAATGGATGCCATGACTAATTCTAATTGATTTCATATATTTTTTTTATTTCCGTTGCTTTGTAGTTTTTTAGTTTTCCGCAGACGCCACACAAAGATCGTTAGCCGATGGCCGAGCAACTAATTGATGAGCGTAAAATAAAGGGTCAACTAATTTTTAATTAAAATCTGAATAATCTGAAAAGACCCACCGCAATCGGATAAGATCTAATTGCCATAATTAATTCTCATATAATTTGGGCGGCGATGGCGACTACTGTTTGGTGTTTTTTCTTGTAGGGGAAACATTTACATAATTTCATAATATGTAAATGGATCTGTGCAACGGGGCGAGATCGAAGATAGAAGCCATTAAATCAAAGTTGGAGCAGGGGGAGCCTCTTCAGAAAACAACAAATTGCGGATCGGTATCTTTTGATGCGCAATTAATAACTGCAGGAGGGAAGGGCACAGTCAGAGGAGGATCCCATAAAAATATATATTTGGAATGAGTATAATTCCCGGATCAGTAATGCGAGACCGAAAAAAATATAAGGAAAACTGGCAACCGCAGCGAAAGAAGACAATGAGCGTCTTTCGGGGAACAAGTTGTGAGGAAAACTCAAGGGAAAACTACCCTCTAGGCTCTGTTTGTTGATTTTCCTTGCACCCTTTGTCATGGAAAGAACCTACTCGACGACTTTATTGATAGATTGCAAGATTCGCGAGACTTCTTCGTTAACAAAAGGCAACAAGTTTACAATTACCTTTTGTGTCATCGCGGGAAATCCCTAAAGTAGAGGAGGTCCGAATATTTGCGTAACAATACGCTTTTCATTCGCTGATTTATAGATATTTAATAAAGCACTTTCCCAGGGACACGCACACACAAAAAGATCGCTGAAGACGAAAGAAATTATCATTTGCATGATAAAAGTATGGTGATCCTTGGAAGGGATCGCTTGGGTCTAAAACTGGGTGTTTCCCTGACAATAATAACAAGCTTCTGCACCCTACCGATTTAACAATTTTCACAACCTGAACACCCCAAGTTTTTCCACAAATTTTTCAATACCAGCATTTTCTTTTTCATTGTTGTTTGCCAGCGCAAAATTATGACGCAATTTATAGTTTTTGATTCCATTCGCCGGCTGAGTTTTAAACCATTGTTAGGGGGGTTTTTGGCGGAGGCATAACTAAGATTTATTTCCGGCTTTGTGAAATTTACACCGGGAAAATCGGTTTCCCTGGCCAACATCAGCAGCTGTAAGGCGTTCCGGGGCGGGGCTATTTGAAAAGAACAAAGTTCTCTGTTCTTTTCAGATATTTTTTATTTTTTTTTTTTACAACGTGAGAATCGGATGGATCAATCTCGCTTAGATTTGAATGGTCTTCTATATAATATATAGTGACGTAATAAAAATGTTTACGACCCTGGCAAACGTCTGTAATCCGTAATCCTCGCATTTAGACAAAAGCTTTTGGTCTTCTCTATAGTTTTCTTCAGGGAGTTCCGGTTACGGCAATAACTTTAATCTGACTTTTCATTGATTTTGCCAGTAAATGTTCCTAACGACGTTTATGCCTCTAAAGATGGATGGGTTTTTTGATGTCTTTGGTTATTTGCCAAAGGAAAAATAATTCAGTAAGCTGCTGGGTGGAATTAAAGTCACAAAAAACTAAATTATTAGGATTTTTAGGATTTTGTAAAGGTTGCTCATTAAACTATTTGAAAAGCAGAAAGCTATGACTTTGAAATTCATTAAAAAGGATGAATCAAAGTTTGCAATAAAATGCTTTAAGTAGAAAATTCAATGAATAGGTTTAGTTTTCTTTAGATTTTATGTTTTTTTACTATTTTGGTTAAGACTTTTACTTATTCTACATAGAACTCCTTCCCTAACTTTTCCCCTATGATACCATCTACAAATATCTCCCAAATACTTCCTCCATAGGTTCATAAAAATAAAGAAAAGATGCCATCAGCTAAATATGCAAATATGTGAAACCATAGTTTTCTTATCTCCGTATAAATTGTCGGTCAATAAGCATATGGTAGGGAACCCTAAAAAAAAAAAGAAGACACATATCCCAAGGAATATAACTCATCGCTTGGGAATGGTTTCATTTGCGGTCTCTGGTTTCTGACAGACTTCCCCGCGGACTCTGATGATGCCAAACTATATTTCATCCCAATAAAATATGAAATATTACAATGACCCGGGGACTAGAAATAAGGAATTTTTGTGTCGGCCTCAGTATCGCTGAAATCATAACTCAACTTGTCCGGCATTATGTAATCCAACACCAGAACATAAAGTGCACAAGATGTGGCACTCGTTACGTTACGCTCTATGTTAATATTATGCGATAATTTATGACACTTGCCCCGATTTCTGTGTCACCGGCCAGCGGCGTTTGCTTTTCAGTATAAATAACAAATTTTCGGTTTACGACACCGCTGACCTTCGCTGACCCTGCCTCCCTGCCACCCGAAGTGGCATCCAATTTGTAGAAGGAGAATCTCTGGGGGCCACAGATCATTTGACAAGTCGAAGACAACAAACGGCGGGCTTTGTTCTCCATCCAAAAGCATTTTGATTTGTGTGCCATTAAATGCAAAGAATATTGGGGGTCATTCTAAAGATTAGAAACTAGAACTAAAATCGGGTATATTATAGTACAGAAAATATATTTGAATTTCTTGCCAAGGCATAGTAATTTTATAAAGTGCGGAAAATAAAAACTGTGAGTTATAATAGAGGGAACTTTGTGTAACAGAATTTTCTTGTGAGAAACTAAATTTATAAACTATTAAAACTAAAGTGCCACTTGTGAAATTCCCACTCATTAAATACAGAGAATATGTGAAGCATATGGAAAATGCTTCTCCTAAATGGCAATTTGGGAATTGGTTTCCTCTCACATTTCCCACTATGAAATACTATGCCTTGCCTTCGTTTTAATTGCAACCATTAAGTTTAATGTATTTTTTTGGTGTATAATAAACATGGGATTTTCATTTAAAATGGGAATATTTTTTTTGTAATGCTGAAAATAGTTTAATCAATATTCAACTTTATACTATACATATTGTTTAAATTTTCAATTCATTAGTGAATGGGGCTTCGCTTCAGCTGCGCTCTGATTATCTGGCTGTAATAAATATGTTGGCAGCGAATCGAAAATAAATATTGTTTCAATTTATCGGTCGGGGATTGGTTAAAAAGCATTCGGCATCAGCAAAAGCATCAGCAGCAGCAGCACATGCTGTCGACAGACTGGCGGACGGACAGACAAACTGCAGCATAAATCATCTTCATTTTCATCTGCAGCTACAAGTTGCAGCGAAGCGTTCGCGTTCGCGTACTTGCCACATGCTGCCAAATGTTGGAGAGGTTCTTTCTTCAGCCGCACCCTCCCACATAAACATTTTCCCCTTCCATGGATAAAATGCACTTTAAGGAAAGATTAAAACATACGGAAAATCGTAGGAGAAATGTAGAAAGATGTATACATAAACATATACCCAGAAAATAGTAAAAGTATTACGAAAATATCAATTAAAATATATTTTTTAATGTCTAGATCGAACCATTTATTTAAAATAATTGGTATGTTCTTAGATTAAAACAACTAATTTACATTAATTTTGAAGCCTCAAACATATTTTTTCATTCTTTTTTAGAAGGCATTTCAAGCCCTAGTAACTTTTGTAACACTTACTTTGATTTCAATAGAAAAATTCTCAAATTAATAAAACCCAAATCAAATTTCTGAACTTTTACCTTGACTTATTTTTAAAGTAATTATTTTATGAACTACCTACATTTTTGGAATATTTTTATACACAGTTTTTAAGGGATTATAAACCCTATTAATATCTGCGATCTTTCTTTGATTTATATAAGAATTCTATTGAACTAAAGAACTCAAAATAAAATTTCCCCAGTTTTCCCTTAACCTATATTTAAAATACAATTTTTTTTTAATATTTTGTAAAGAATGCATATTTTTTCTGACTGCACAATTCGATTCTTATTCCCATTTCCCCCTTCACTCGCGTTGCATCTGCAGTGGCTGCGCCGACACTATGCCTTTGATTTATGGGCCAGCTTCCAATATAATTATGTTGTATCCGAAAAATCGAGCAGGCGATGGATGCACGGACTAGAGCAGAAAAATTCGGCTATTTTCGAAAACTGAGAAAAAAGAGAACGTTTCTTTTGGGGAAATTGTCGCTATCCACGCATCAAACTAGGGCGAACTGGGATCGCTTCTATTCCATTCCGATTCCATTCTATTTTAATTAAAATTTAACTTGCCAAAAAGAAGAAGAAAATGTAAATTGATTTATGGCCCCCAGTATCTGGTTTGGTATGATGCACCAGCCCCATCGATGTTGGGGATTTATCCACCGAATCGAGTGCTAGAAAAATATGTATAACAAAAATGGGGCTAATCTTTTTGACATGTGGTGGCAATGGAGAAGGATGCATGATTTTTGATATGTAAAATGATAAGTATTAAGATGAATATATAATCAAAAAAATATATAGAATCAGTATATTAATAGTATATATTTAAGGTTAAGATTAATAACCTGCTTTTCAAATCAAAAATAATATCCATGATAATGC